AGTTTGACTTCTTCCTTACCAATATGGATGCCTTTGATTTCCCTTTCTTGCCTTATGGCCCTGGCTAGGACTTCCAGTACAATGTTGAATAGAAGTCTACTGCCATCTTTTTGCATGTAATGTACCCATGCAAATAATGTGCTCATGCGTATAACACACACAGCACACATAGGAAACTTAACACACAAGGGGGTTGTGTGATTTGCCAAAAAAAAAAAACCATGTAATGCATGCACTGTTTACATGAAAAAAATAGTGTATAACCAGTATAGAGCTAGGTATTCTGAGAACAGTGTAGTTGAAGAAATGATCACAGTCCTCAGATGCTTAACCACTATGTGGAGGAAAGTGTAGAATTATTCTGTGTAGTTACAGTAGGCATAACAAGATTCATTTGAGAATTGAATTCAAAAGGCAGAATCTGCTTCAGTCTAAGGAAGAACTTTAGGGGAAAAAATATGGCTGTTTTCCAACATTTTCTCCCTCACTGAAAAGCAACTGCGATTCACTAAATTATGTCCTCCGTTTCTTCAAGCCAGTAGGACTGTGAATTTTCTCTTCTTTTAGTCCTGCATGGTGCTGACTGGTCTTACCTTCAGACTAAAAGCTATAAAAGTAGAAAGCTCACTCAGTACTGTTTTGGCTTCCAATTGTTGACTTCCCTCTAGTATTGTCCTACTTTTGGTTGCTTTCCAGTATCTTCACATGACTGCTTTCTATATTATCCAGAGTTTATAACTGTTACCTGTAGGAAGGGTCAGTCTGACAGGAGCTACTTGGCCATACCAAGAATGGAAAATGCTGAGGTTTTTTCCATGTTGTTAGGGCAACTGTTACTTTTTGCTCTTGTCGGCTTGTTTGAATTTCACAACAGCTTATTCTTTTCTTATCTCTAATCTGCTGTTCCTGGAAAACTAGGTAAATGCACTTGTTTGAACCATGAGTAAAATACGATTAAATTCATCCTGAGAACAAAGGACTCTAACATTAGTAAATTATTTGATATTTAATATGTGAACTTTATGATATTTAACTACTTGGGGCCCTTTATTTGACTATTTTATTGGTTCTGCTGTATTCTATATAGTTGGAAGTTTCAGGGATAAGAGATGTACTAATTTATAAGATTAACAAATTTAAGCAATGCAAATATTCATTAATATTTCTTTAAGGAGCTCCAGTGGCTTAGTGGTTAAAGCATTTGATTGCTAATCAAAAGGTCAGTGGTTTGAACCCATCAGCCACTTTGTAGGAGAAAGATGAGTCTGTTTGCTTGCATAAAGAATTACAGCCTTGGAAACCATATGTTGCTGTGAGTGCAGTCAACTCAATGCCAGTGAGTGATGTGTTAATATTTTTGGTTTGATATAATGACTGTTCATGAACTAATTAGTTTAGGTGTTAATGACTGATTTGTTGTACTCAAATAAATTTTTGATGAGCCCTGGAAAATTATTAATTTTATACTTGTTAGCTTTTTTTTTTTTTTTTTTAATTGTGATTTGGGTGAAGATTTACAGAGCAAATTCACTTTCCATACAGCAGTTCACATATACTTTGTCTCATGTCATTGACCACAGTTTACCACAATGCAACAGCTCCCCTCCCACTTCCTCCCCATAGTTACCTCTTCCCTGTGTCCTTCCCTCCATGCACTCCTGCCCCCTGAACTGTCTTCCTGTGCATAAATAGCCCTTCTTTCTCCCATGATTGTTCCCTCCAAGGAGTGTAATCTACCTCAGGGAAATGTTCAACTCATATGCCTGTGTTTTGTTTGGCTGGAAACCACAGGTGTGGGTTCACTTCCAGACCTGAAGGGCAGCTAGAGGCCATAGTCTCAGCGGTTCCACCAGGCTCTATTGAACCAGCAAACCTGGTCTCCCCCCCCACTTTTTTTTTTCTCCAAATGATTTGAGTTTTGTTCCACATTGTTCTCCCTCTCTATCAAGTATCTCCTAGACGGATCGCCTTCCAAGTGGATGACAGTGGTAGTCAGGCACCATCTAGTTCTTCTGGTCTCATAGTTGTATAGGCTGCAGCTGGGATGGTGTACCAGTCGCTAGGACTAATTGTTTCCATGAATTTTGGTTTTCTTCATTCTTCTCTGCTCTGGATGAAGAGAGACCTATCGTTGCATCTAGATGGCAGCTTGCTAGCTTTTAAGATCCCAGCCACTACTCGCCAAAGTAGGAGGTGGAAAAATGTTTTGTATAGTATGGAAGGTTGGGCATTCCTACTTCCGTAGTGATACTGCCTCGGAAACCCAAGGAGGGGTCGCTATGAGTCAGGGCCGACTCGACGGCAAACAACAACAACACAACAACAACATAGTATCTTATGCCAATTGAGCTTGCTGTCCCCTGCGACTATGGTCCCAAGCCCACAGGTTCAACTACTCAGTCCCTCAGGGTAGCTGGCTGTGACCAAGCAGTAACTACAACCTTGCCCCTTGTCAGCTCTACTATACACCTGGGAATTCTGATCATTCACATAAACTTATAGGACCATTGTCTGCCAACCCTATACATGTTCCTGGATACACTCCCCATTTCATAGACATACTTAATAGTTCAGCCTGTCCACCCATCTATCCACCCATATACCCATGCTTGCCTTCAGTGCAGTACTATATGTGCAAAAGGGTTCAACTTTGTTGTCTGTATCTCCCATGTACCTCTCTATGTCTTTCTCTTCCTCAATGCCGCCATATTGGTCACTCACATTTGGTAACTTATTAGCTTTTTGTATGTTTGCTCCAGGGCTTAGTTTTGTGGGATGAAGGTTAGAGAAGGTGATTGGGGAAGAAACATAAAAATTTCCTGTCAGATCATCGTTTTTCATTCCCCGACTAAGAACATAAAAATAAATAATTAAATTTCCCAGTATAGTTAGGTCTAGTCTGCTAATCTTTTGATGGAAAACTGGAGTGACTTAGAGCCAGATGAATGAACTCTTAGAAAGAATAATGATCTGCACTAAGATTATTCGAATGAAGAAGATAGACTAATCAAAGAATTATAGAAGGAGGATTGATAAAACTTTACCATCAAATGATTGTGCAGGGTAAATGAGAAAAAGGAACAGTAATATATTAATTGTAATTCTTTTAAATAAATGACTTTATCTCCTGTAATTTCAGCATGATAAGAGTTCTACAGAGGAAGAGATGGAAGTAGAAAAGATAAAACATAAGCTCCAGGAGAAAGAAGAACTAATTAACAATTTGCAAGCCCAACTTAGCCAGGCACAGGCAGAGCAAGCTGCACAGGTAAGGGTGTAAGTCACCTCCCAATCATTAGGTTAATGTAATTACTAAAGCCCAATGACAGATTTTCTAGATGCCCAATAGATATCTATCTATTCATCCATTCATCTATCGATCAATTTATCAGTATCCTTCCTTTCTCTCTTTCTTAAATCCAGTAATTTTGCTAGCATATGCACTTGGTGTTTGTCATTCTGGGTTAGTATTTTTAGGTACCCAGATGTTCTTTCAATATATGGCTTCAAATATTTTTAGTTTCTTGAATTAAATAAATTGTAGTATTTGGTCTGTTTGTTTGCTTTTGTTTTCTTCTTTAGGGACTTCTATTATCTGCATCTTTGATCTTTGATTATCTTCAATATTTGTCACTTTTTCTTAATTTCTTTTTATAAAATTTTTGTCTGCTTTTTAAACTTTCTTCCTTTTTTCCTTTTACCTTTATTTCTCTTAAGCCATATTTTGTGTTTGTTTATTTTTGAGTTCTTTTTGGTGTTGTCGTTTCTGAAATTTTTTTTTCTAATATATAGAATTTTTCCTGAATTCTGTCACCTAATTCTTGAGCTTTTCTAATTCTGATTTATGTTGTTCTTTAATGTATTCTGGTGGCATAGTGCCTAAGGCACTTGACTGCTAACCAGAAGGCTGGTGGTTCAAACCCACCAACCACTCCTTGGAAGGAAGGTTGGGCAATGTACTTCCATAGTGATGCTGCCTTGGAAACCCAAAGAAGGGTCGCAATGAGTCACATCCGACTGAGTGGCAGTGAGTTTGGTTTTTGATATGGTTTCATGTGTTATATCATTTTCTTAATTTTTTAAAATCCTTTTGAAATAAGGAGCTCTGGTGCTGTATCAGATAAAGCATTTGCCTACTAACCAGAAGGTCAGCAATTCTAACCCACCAGTTGCTCCATGGGAGGAAAATGGAGGAATCTATTCCCATAAAGATTTATAGCCTTAGAAAGCCATTGGAGTTCTCTGTAAGTCACAATCGACTCGATGGTAGTGAGTTTTTTATTTTTTTAAAAATATACTCTATAATGTTTTTGGGTATACCTCTTATGCTTTCGCCACTGGTGGTGGTGGTTGTTATGTGCCGTCAAGTCGGACTCGACTCATAGTGACCTCTCCTTGGGTTTCCAAGGCGGTATCACTGCAGAAATAGATTGCCCAACCTTCCTTCCGAGGAGTAGCTGGTGGGTTTGAACCACTGGCCTTCTGGTTAGCAGTCAAGTGCCTTAGGCACTATGCTACCAGAGCTCCTATTTGTGTGTATATATATATTTAAATAATGAATGGGTATTGAATTTTATCATTCGGTTTTTCTTCAAAAATTTCTTGTAATTTTTGCAGCCAATTTATATAATACTTTAGGTTATTATTAAAACCATCTGCATTTGATTCATGTTAGAAAACTACATAAAATCATTATTATTGATTTGCCTTAGAAGTGTCAAGCCACAGACTAAGTTTTACTCTCATTTTAGTTTCTGCTTTAACTCATTTATATGTAGTATATCAGTGAGAAAGCAAAAATGATGTTGCCTTCTTTGTGTCTAATTATTGAATATTTGACAAACATTCCTTTTGTTTCAAGAAAATCTTGAATGAGAATTAACCATGTAGTTCATCTCTGTAAAACTCTTTCACTATACAACCAAAGAGAATTGGCAACGAAAATCAAATCATTCATTACAATGTCTTCTCTTTCAACAGTTTCATAAACAGATGGTGATTCATAGCATGTGCATTATATATTGAATAATTTTAATAACTGTATTGACAGCACTTTTCTTGAAGTCTGCTTCAGATAATTGAATGTAAATATTTTCAATATGTATCATACAATGGAAGGAGCCCTGGTGGTACAGTGGTTAAGTGCTCAGCTCCTAACCAGATGGTTGGTAGTTGGAACCCATCAGCTACTCCATGGGAGAAAGATGTGTCAATCTTGTTTCCATATAGATTTACAGCCTTGGAAACCCTATGGGACACTTCTACTCTGTCCTACAGGATCTCTGTGAGTCAGAATTGACTTGATGGTGGTGAATTTTGCTTTGATTTTGGTCAGATGCATAAGGAAGCAATAAGAGAAAAACATTAGTCCATTGTTGAAAAATTTCCATAAATCTTAGTATTTGAACTTCCATGGAAGCATCTCCATTTATCATGATAGAAATGGATTCTCTTTCCATATCAATCTTAAATTCTTATTTGACAGATTAAAAGATTCAAACTGTGTCATAAGTTTTGTAAAGACATGAATCAACAATTATTTCTTTGTAAAAATTCAGAAATTTTTTTTGAGACATTAGGCAGTGTCTCTCATATCACACAACTCATCTAATGCTAAAAAACCTATGTTGTTGTTGTTGTTTGCCGTCAAGTCAGACCCAACTCATAGCAACCCCTCCTTGGGTTTCCGAGGCAGTATCACTATGGAAGTAGATTGCCCATCTTCCTTCTGAGGAGTGGCTGGTGGGTTTGAACCACCAGCCTTCTGGTTAGCAGTCAAGTTCCTTAGGCACTATGCTACCAGAGCTCCTAAAAAACCTATACTTGTTATATAAAAAAATTTTAATCAATTGACCTTTTATATTGTTAAAATAGCCTTGTATTTTATTAGCAATTATTCAATGGCTTAATTGATTGTTAAAATAGCCTTGTATTTTATTAGCAATTGTTCAATGGCTTAATTGGTCACTTAATATAAAATATAATTTTTAGCCTTTTCATAATTTTCTAACAAAATCTGCATAACAAAGTATAATTTCTTTTACTAGATCTCCATCTAATGTCATTAGCCACTGTTGTGAGCTGTTGAGTCAATTCCAACTCATAACAACCTTATAGTTCAGAGTATAGCAACCTTATAGTTCAGAGTATAACTGTCCATAGGTTTCCTAAGCTGTAATCTTTGTGGAAGCAGATCATCAGGTCTTTTCTTCGTGGAAAGCTATGGTAGTTCAGTTTGTGTGTCAACTTGGCTAGGCCTGGTTGAGTGGCTTGGCAGCTGGATGTAGTATTCCCTATGATGGGACTGGTAATCAACTCCATGGAGGAATCTACTGTGAGCAGCTGAGTAGCTGCCTTTTGGGTATGGGATCTGCTTCCCATATGTAAGTAGTAGCTTTGGGAATGGTCTCTAGTTTATGGCACCTTGAACCCTGCGTGTAGTCATGTCATTGTTCAGCAGCCTGCCATGCTCTGTTGACCTTGGGACTTACAATGGACTTGAACTAATGGCCTGCCGTGTGGTTTGGTAACATCGGGACTGTGCCTTTTTGATTGTCAACTTTGGGTTTGGCAGCCTCAGCAGCCAGCAGCTGTCTGAGTGAAGAAAAGCCTCTAGCTTCAGTGGGCAGGGAGCAAGAAGCAGAGCTGAAGCCCAAGGTTGAGGGGCTTTCACCCAGTCCCTAGAACCTGGCACTTTGAACTCGGACTTAAAGTCTCCATTGTAAAAGAATAAACTCCATTTGCTAAGGCCATCCCATTTGTGGTATATTTTAGTCAGAGCGGCACTAGGTAACCAGAACAAATGCCTAGTGAGTTCAGACCACCAGCCTTCTTTGTTAGCAGCCACTAGGGCTTCATTAGCCATTGTTGTTGCTATTAGGTGCTGTGGAGTCATCTCCGACTCATAATGACCCAGTGCACAGCAGAACGAAACACTGTCTGGTCTTGTGCCAGCCTCACAGTCCCTGCTATACCTGAGCCCATATTTGCAGCCACTGTGTTTATGCATCCCGCTGAGGACCTTCCCCTTCTTCATTGACCCTCCACTTTACCAAGCATGATATTGTTCTCCCGGGAATGGTTCCTTCTGATAATATAACTAAAGCAGGTAAGACAAAGTCTGGCCATTCTTGCTTCCAACGAGCATTCAGGCTGCACTTCTTCCAGGACAGATATGTTAGTCCTTTTAGTAGAACATGGTACTCTTAGCATTGTTCTCTGACTCCACAACTCAAAAGCATCAACTCTTCTTCAGTCTTCCTTATTCATTGTCCAGCTCTCACTACATAAGAGGTAAGTGAAAATACCATGGCTTGGGTTAGGTTGCATCTTAGTCTTCAGGCAGACATCTTTGTTCTTCACTTGAAAGAGGTCTTTTGCAGCCAATTTGCCCAATGTAGTACATTGTCTGATGTCTTGACTGCTGCTTCCATTGGTGTTGATGGTAGAACCAAGTAGTATGAAATCCTTGAATTCAGTCTTTTCTCCATCCACAGTGAAGCTGTTTATTGGACCAGTTGTAAGGATTTTTGTTTTCTTTATATTGAGGTGTAATCCATACTGCAGACTGTAGTCTTTAATCTTTGTCAGTAAAGTGCTCTGTTGTTGTTGTTGTTGTGTGCCGTCGAGTCGGCCCCGACTCATAGCGACCCCTCCTTGGGTTTCCGAGGCAGTATCACTACGGAAGT